GGAAATTTCTCTCTCAGGTTCACCGAAGATGATGTTTCTCATTTGATTCTTTGATTGGTTCTGCAACAACATCTTCCTATGGTTCTCTATTTCTTACAGCGTTGGGTGACATCAACAAGGTGGTGGTAGGCTGATAGCTCTGCGTCTCTCTTAACGCGAACAGTATCTACAGAGCTTCTTAAATTAGTCGATATGATTGTCACAGCGATCATCGACTTCTGTTCATAAGCGTCCCGGTTCCAGGTATGTTGATGCCGTTTACAATGCTCGAAGAAGGTGTTCATAATGGATGGTCCGTTGTTTGCACAAAACCGTGACAACTTCATACCGTTATTGTTGAGGTCGTTAGGGCCGTTTTTCTCAATCACGCCGTTCTAGTTTTCAGCGTCTACTATGGCATGCGCATTAAAATCGCCCATGAGTATGAGGAACATTGTATTTCACTTCGTACGGAGCGCGCAGCACTTCCTAAAGTATGATTTCATATTCTCTCTGCAAATTGGGCTCATAGACCTGTGCCAAAGTCAACGGTTTAGCTAGTTATAGCTTCAGTCAGAAAATTACTACCCTTCCGATGACAGTCTTCCAATCAATGATTCTCGATTTTCATGCTTAGACGCATAACAGAAGTATGTGCTATATAATTAGATTCTTATTCATCGCTATTTAACATAGAGCTCTTTGGCTTTGTTACCATGACCGCTACTGTGATATTTCAAAAATCAGAAACATACCATTATCATTCGCGTTCGACAGCTTTAAACATCCATGCTAATTTTCACAAAGGCTAATGCTGCCACCTCTCGTATTCATTTCGTTTGTGGATTGGATTAAAATTTCGCATGTCCAACTAATTTCTGTTCGCCTGTGGTACCATTACGTTAACTTCTTCGTTAACTTCTTCGCATGATGACCTACAAACAGATGCGTAGTTTTGTCTCTATCATTTCTTGAGGCACGCCTGAAGCAAAAACTGAAGATTTTGTTACCTCGAGAATGGTTATTGAATGTTCTGTAGGTAAATAAAGTGGAAATAGAGCTGGTAAAAATTAGGATGTCTGTGGATAGGGTTTATAATGATTGGTTAGCAAAACGTGGAATTTGGAGCATAACACCAATATGAACTCAATAATAATGGATCTAAGTGCGTTGTACTAATAATGAAGCACATGGGCAGTAATACGCGATTCTCTGTCGTCAAGTCTGTTTAGCTGCAGCTACCCTTAAACTTGATCATGAGTATTAAATATTATACGAAAGAGT